GCATCCCCGCGTTTTGGGCATCCCCATTCCCATATCCCTAGCGTTTTGGGCATCCCCGGTGGGGGATGCCCAAAACGCTGATCACTTCGACTTTGCCTAAATTATTTCAGACTGGGGAAAAGTCGGGATTGTTAATCACGAATTTACGGCTAAATAGTGTAGATGCATGTTAGAATTATATCGTCCGACACTTTTTGCCGGGTTAATTGCGCAGAAAAAAACCCATAGGCAGTAAACGTTGGCTCAAAACATGACGAAACTGAAATTTACAACCGCATAACATCGCTTCGATGCACAACACTTCATTGTTTGCAAAGCTTTCAATTTTATTTAATAGAACTGTTTACAAGCGAGCAATGCCGCAATCGCCGGCAGCTGCGATCGTCTGCTTCCAAACAGCCAAAAACAAGAATTCTAAACAAAGGAATCAAAAGGTAAACATGAATAAAACTGCGTTTTGCGGTGTTGCATTCATAGTATTCATGACATTTGAGGCCTGTACAACTTAACCCCGCAGCGCTACTTGATACAGGAAAGGCTGTCACACAATTACAGAGGCCTCAAATCATCAGAAATAACCGGAGGTGGGGTGACAATTCCCCCCCCAAAAACCCTGCAGTGCAAGGGAAAGGCATGTCTAGAAAAAAATCCTGTAGTTATGTAGTTATGATAAATGGACGCTCCAATGATGGTCACTAGAAGAGATGTTGTGCTTGGCGCACGGGCGTGACAGCGGGCGTGACATAAATGGATGTTCAAGGCCACACTTTAAGGTTAACTGACAGAAAATCTGTCATCTTGACCCTTCAGAAATATAACCTCTGATCTTTGGCTTCACATAAAATAATAACAAACGGCATCTATAAGAAGGACTCCGGTTTACAATGCCCTTTGACAACCTACCAAAAGATGCAATTATGCCTCACCCTTTCAAATTTCACTGAAAACAGAAGAAATTTAGCGTATGTTTTCGATTATCAACGCGGGTGTTTCAAAAACACGATCAATTGGCAAATAAATAACATTTGTAACTACACTGCAACCATTTCTATCGTGTCCTTGTAGTATTCAGGCCAGTAAAACCGCTCTTTGATTTTCCTTAGAGTGTTATCGCGGCCGGCGTGTCCAGAAAAAGGAGCAGAGTGGCACTCTTCGAAGACCCTCGCTTTATCTTCCTCGGCGATAACAAGACGTCGAAGCGCTGTGCCATCCTTCTCCTTGGCCACGTAGAACAAGGACTCTAATTTTGAGTCATACTCAAACTTTTTGGCGAATTTTCTAAGAATTGTTTTGTCCTGCTTTGTAAAGCCTTCCGGATAAACCTTATTTTTAAGATACCGGAACAGATTTGTATATTTAGCGGAATCCATCTCTAAAAGGTTTTCGATTTTCCCGCGAAATCCCAAATTGTTTTGGAGGGGATGCCCAAAACGCTAGGGATTTGGGCATCCCGGGAGGGTACCGGGGGATGCCCAAAACGCTGCAGTAATATGAGAAGGGGATACCAAAAACGCTAGGGATATGGGAATGGGGATGCCCAAAACGCGGGGATGCCCAAAACGCTGTGACACCGGTGTCAGCGTTTTGGGCATCCCCATTACCAAATCCCTAGCGTTCTGGGCATCCCCTTCTCATAATTACTGCAACGTTTTAGGCATCCCCTGGTACCCTCCCGGGATGCCCAAATCCCTAGTGTTTTCACCCCTCCAAAAAAACTCTGGATTTCGCAGGAAAATCGAAAACGTTTTAGAGATGGATTCCGCTAAATGTAGAAATCTTTTCCAGTATCTTAAAAGGTTTATCCGGAAGGCTTTACAAAAATTTGCCAAAAAGTTCGAGTATGACTCAAAATTAGAGTCCTTGTTCTACGTGGCCAAGAAGAAGGATGGCACAGCGCTTCGACGACTTGTTATTACCGAGGAAGAGAAAGCGAGGGTCTTCGAAGAGTGCCACTCTGCTCCTTTTTGTGGACACGCCGGCCGCGATAATACTCGTAGGAAAATCAAAGAACGGTTTTACTGGCCTGACCACTACAAGGACACGATGGAAATGGTTAGTTACAAATTTTATTTATTTGCCAATGCACCCTCTTGACCGTGGTTTGTAAAAGGCCCGAAAGCACAGTGCGATAAGTTGTTTTATGTTGCCGTTTTTGCATTCAAGATCAAAGTTTCAGTAATCTTGAAAAAGGTACAATGAAACTATAAGTTAACGGAGCAAAATTGACGGGTTTGTGAGCTATCTACTCTATCATAGCACATCAATTATGAGATGATATTTGGGACATTGATTTGAAATGCGTGACCCTTACAAAATTCCAACTCAGTCAAACACCTCAACAAGAAACGTACTTACAAATAATTCATACTATGCTTTACCGCTGTGGTTCAGACGGAAGCTCGTTGCTCATAGATCGAAGATGTGACAGCTCGTCCCGAGCTTATTTCGTACTGCTTTGATGCTGGCGGCGAGTATGCCATACGTCGCAAAAATGTCCGTAAAAATGGTATCGTCTATCGTCTGAGTTTTAGCACAGGCCGGGTATACCGCTGTGGTATATCAGTTTGTCCACGGAACGGGGAGTATACGCATGGGCTTATTTTTCGGATATTTACGGTAAAGCCTTGCGGTAGCTTCTGCGCTCCCCCTCCCGAAAAAAAATCCCTGAACGCAGGTCACGTCAACTTCTCTCGGTTTATTCTGGATTGTTGTGAGTTTAACATCCACTGTTGAATAAATAGATCAGTAATTTTGACAGATCTGCCACTGAGATATGTACACATTATATAGGCCCGACATCACAGCCACTTGAGTGTTCTTCTTACGTAATACAGTTACCCTTTCCGTTCATCGGCCCAACAGAGAGACTGGCGAGTCGTAGAGCACGTGGAATTCGATAGTGCAAGTTATTTTGTTAATTGAAATAAGCGAAGAGACGTTCGAAACGCACGCAGAAATTAAATGAGTACAACCAACAACATGTTGTCAGATCAGAAAACGTATACCAGCTATTTATGAGCAGAAATTAAGCCCATCATGTCAAATGCTTAAAGAAATTACAAAAACCGAAATATTTAAGAAAGAGTTAAAATTCAAATAAGAATTTTAGAACAACAGTTCATTTATCGTGGTCTGGTGCACTGTAGTCTTTTAACACTGGCCACAATTCGGGATGCAACGCCTTCACTTCAGAAGCTTTGGGCACACAACGATCTCTATAATCAAATCCCGGTGACATTCCCTCTGAAATCAACGTAAAAGGTATCTCTCCTTCAAACTTTGCATAATCATTCTCGTCGAGTAAAATCTCTGCAGCCTTTAGACAACCACCAGGGACTGTTCGTTGGGGAACATGCCCTTTCGAAGTGTCGCTACCCAATACAAACTCCTCAACTTTGCCCTCGGTTGTGACAAATATGTACTTAGCGGGCCAGCCGTCGTGAAAAAAATGTGTTATATCGCTTTTGTTGCTGTTTAAGAAGTTTTTGCCTCCAAGTTCAGGTGCAATCATGTAATAAATTGTAGTGAATAAGCTCCGTTCATTTCCTTCCCTTTCCTTTGGTTGAATAATTTCTGGTGAACGATATGTCTCTACGAAATATCCCCCTTCCTCCGATAGCGGGATTAAGCCCAGTTGTTCAATGTAGTTGTCTTTTCTGTTCTTCATGTCACCAGTACGAAATCTCTCGAAGTTAAACGGCTTTTCTTCTGAAATCGAATAAAGATCGCTGATTAAAATTCACATTTGATAGTTTACTTTAGACACACTTGAGTAGCACTTCCGACGTGTCAATGACGTAGTTATACGGACGTCAAGTCTTGAGCTTCTTATGACATCATCAACGCCTTCTCTTTGGCACGGATTCGCGTGATCCATGAATTGACCGGTAAACAGAGCATTAGTCCGGAAAACTCATGAAATACAGTCAGGATGCGCGAATCATATATTCACTGTGACGATCGAGAGATCACCTAACATTTTAGTCAGTGAATCGAGATTTCTACCGAGAAAACAGATGTAATGTTGTGAACATAAGACAACCCTAATTCAGACCAGCTCTTTCCTATGTATATAGTAGTCCATGGCCAGCAACTACCAAGAATCATTGATGGACTTTATCGGTTCGTCACCTAATCGCGTGATTTGTGAAATGAATTCAAAAGCTAATGTGATTCGTGGCTTCCCACGCAACGTCTGCGTGGGAGGCTACGTGATTCGTGACTGTCGGAAATTTAATCGGTTATCCGTGCAGATCCAGAACCCGCCCCCTTCTGGTTTTATTGCAGTAATTCTAGTGTTGAGCCTGCAAGCAAGCTTGCTCATAGGCTGATTCTGTTATGATAGAAATAAGACAATATTTACAATATTTACTTTAAGGTGTTTTTCCTTTTTTTTAAACCCAGGCTTCCCCTAAGTGTTTTGAGGGTTTCTTAAGGATCGGATTTACAATTGTATTTCGACCGTGGTATCAATCTTAAGGGGGCAGTCTGGTTAAAATCGTTATTTTTCGTTGGTTTCCACATAAGATTTCATTCAATCAAAAAGTGACTCAATTAAGTTACAGGCCTTAGTTCAATAATTATTTGTGAATTTTTGGATGATTTTTCGAACGTTTCAATTTGTAAAATTTAGGGGGGGGGGGGAGATGTTTGAAATTTAGAGAAAAAGGGAAAATATTGAATTTGGGGGTTGTAAAAAATTGAAATATGAAGTGAATAATTAGTAGACAATGACCAGATAGTCCACCACCACAACAGGGCGCCTCTGATCCCATTAGCGGACTAAGTGGTTTTTAGTGTGTGTACCAGGTATACCTATTATAACCTCATTTATTTCGGCTTCCCAAATCAACATCATTTCCCCCAAATTTAAACCACACTCCCCCCTTAAATGTTGGTATCGTTTGATTTCAATTCATTTTCTCGAGCAGTTCTTTGAAATAGTCTTCCTATTGAGTGGCTGCGGTAGGCGAACTCTCTTGGGACCTCCAGTGCTGACTGCAAACTATGTACACGGCACCTATGTAAAACAGGCTCTAGTCTAACAGGGTTCTTAATAACTCCTAAGTAATCAGTCGGTGGGTAAACAAATTACAATTTACAATTTTTTAAAAAAATAATGTTAATGTGTTTTAGCCGTTTTAGATTTGTGTAAGAAATAGTGTTTTTGAGTCCTGATGAGTTGACTGTGTTTACATAAGGTCATTCATTCATCCATCCATCCATCCATCCATTCATCTATTCATTCATTCATTGTAGCCTCTTTATGAGTGCCCACCTAAAAGCTAAGATGAATTTGTCACGAAAGACCACTCCTCGAGTAAACATGTTTTGAGAATTCCCCGGGGTGCAAGAGATCCTGGCCGTGTGCTTCATATTAGCCTGTGAACAGGCTGTCTGTTTGGGGAAAGGGTGAAAAAAATTGCGCTTTCCCCAAACAGAGAGCCTGTTCACAGGCTAGCTTCATATGCTTGCGTCGTCGTCGACACGGCCTACCTCGTTTTCAGGAAATTCAAACAATGGTCATATTGGCCAAAAATAATAATCACCATCTTCATCATTAGTCTCCCTCGCAGCCGTTTTTTGTGACGCAACGTGGGGAATGTTGCGTGACATCCCAACAAACGAGTTCGAGGATGGTAACAATGATCAAGATGATGATGATGATGATGATGACTGATGATGACCATTATAAAAGGTTAGATGATGAGATCATCATATCATTGTCTTAGTGTATCCAACCATTCCTGTGAGATTTAAACACTTTTCTTATTTCTTTCTCTGTCTCTAGTGTAGTATGTAGTAAACATACTATGTGCGAGCTAGTGTACATCGAATTGCGTGGTGGTCGAAGTGGATATGTCAGGACTCAGAGGGGCGCGTAGCCATTTTCTTTCCCGGTCACGCAACGCCCCTCCTAGAATGCCCCATTTTTAGGACTTTAATACATGGGTGAAAAACATTTTATCGCCGAAAATTTCTACTAGCAGAACGAGCCAGATAAAGTTAAAAGGACATAGGAGTATGATTCCTTCTTAATCGGCATTACGGTATCGTGACCAGTGACGCAGGCGGCGACACATTTCGAGCGCTTTACATGACCTGCTTTCTGCCATTCCATTGCTCGTGTGACGGGGCGCACGATCATTTCTCCACAACTTGCAATTGTTTGCGTTAATCAATCATGCCTCTGTTTGATTTAACAACAAACGTAAAAGAAGTTCCTGAAAATTTCCACAAGGAGACTACAGAATTAGTCGCACAACTTTTGGGAAAACCGAGCACGGTAAGAATATTCACATTAACATGACTCTAGCGGCGGACAACTTTTTGAATGGCGAGATCAACCCAATTTTTTCCACGAATAATAAGCTTTATAGGTGTCTCTCGATTAGTCAGTTTTCCCTGAAGTACATGTAGTAAACCGGTTTGAGAGTTCCTCCCCAGCGACTCCTCGTCTTGTGGCCGGAAGAGTAGGGTGGCGGGGCGGGGCGGGGGGGTGGTTTATGGGTGGGTTTGGGTTAGTCAGCGAATATTTGCGTGTATTATACATTGTACTCATGATCTGTCTTCTCACTGGCTAAGAGCCTACAGCTAATTTTGGAAATCAGTGCAACCTACAGATTAGTTAGTTATCTGCTAGTGAGTAACTGACTCATCTGTAGATTACGTGCACAGTGCATGATTTCCAATATCAATTATTGTCTTTATTCAGGTTCCTTTTGACTGTGTGTTTGTCATTATTTTCTTCAAAACAGTGGATAATAAAAAAATCATTAGATTCGCTTTTTGTGATATCCTAAATAATGAAGGTCTCGGTAAGTGTTATCAGCCTTGGCCTTGGGTATGTCCTCCATTATTGTTAGTACAATCCTTTTCTGTGTAGCCTGTTCACAGATCCTCTATTTTCTCTTCAAAGTCCGTCAAGCGTAGGTGATAAAATATAAACCGCAGGGGGATTTAGCTCGCCCGATGTTTTCAAAAAGAATGAAAGGAAAAATAAAACAATGTCTGTGTACAGACTATTTGCTGTGAAACTTAAGTTTACAGCTACACCTGTTTTTACGAAAATTATCCGATATTAGATTCCCATACAAACACTGTAATAATTATTTATCATGCGGGTGCCTACCCATCAAGATGGCTTCCAAAACCATGATACGGTCAACAGTGTACGACAGTATGAAGACTGAATTTTAATTATTCAAAACAACCATGCCTGGTCATTACAAGAAAATAATGCCCACTTAGGAGCCAATCAGAGCATGTGTATTATTGAAGCCATAATAATAAGACATCTATTTTTTTTCTTGATATGATGAACAGGTTGTTGCAGTGCAAGTCAATGCTGGAGCAAAGTTAACATTTGGAGGGACTGATGAAAACTCTGGTATGCTTCATCTCTACTCAGCAGGGAAACTGGGGCCAGAAAAAAATAATGAATATGCAAAAACTTTTTCTGAGCATCTGCAGAAGCATTTTAAAATTCCAAGTGGAAGGTAATAAATCTGGCTTTAAAAAATTTTACTTTGCAAGCCTTTAGATATCTTAGCATTTAACAATCAACGAGCTCTGAGGCTTGTCGAGTTGGTATACATCTGAGCTCTTTTTCTAACATAAAAGTCAAAAAATTGTTAAAACAGTTGTTACGATATAAGATGAATTTTGTTTCACTGGTCAGTGGTCATCACTGGCAACTGACTCTTTCTTCATGAGCCTCCATCTCCTTAGGCTGCAGGGCAGGTGTTTTGTTTTTAACTAAAGCTCAGAGGTACATTAATCACAGCTGCCATCTTGAAAGCAGTTGCAAAACTGATGGGGGGATGGAGAAAACAGGAAAATTTTTTCCTCCCCTCCCCCTCCTATATTTTGAGCCATCAACCTCTCCCGTGAAATCCTTTTTTGACTCGCCCAAAGAAGAAGATTAGTACCCCTCCTTGAACCCACACACCCTCAGAAACAATCTTGCCTTGACCTGGTAGAGTATTTAATATTATGGAAGGCTAAGGTTTTGTATTAACATGGCGCAACATGAACTGATACAGCATGAATCGACATTTAAAATTTTCCCCATTTTTCTTGTAAAGTAAAGAGTCTTTATCATGATCAGGTTACTTTGTGTCAATTCTCCGGAATATTGATTTAACTATCAGTATTGGTGTTGCTATTGAAGAGATTTGGTTTGGTTGCTGCTATCATGCAGGGAGGTGGTCACTATTTTTAGAATTTCCTGGTGGTCTCAACTTTTCTACAGTCAATTTGGGTGATAATAACGTTGTTTTGGGGGTACCCTAACCTCCTTTGCTGGAGACTCCATCGTGTACAATAAATCTTAAAATGAAAAATCCTGATTTCTTGGACCCTTTCTCATGATTCAAGTAAAATCCAACTTCCTTTTATCAGCCAAACATTGTTATATATTTTGACCCATTGTTCAAACCTCCCAGTAATTCGAACCAATTTGCTTTTCCCATATAGTTTGAAAAACTGTAGCCTGTGAACTGCAGACGTATTTCTGGTCATTGCTTCTCTTCCTCTGAAAAAGGAGGGAGAGAAGAGACCACCAGAAATACGTCTGCAGTTCACGGGCTAGAAAAATAATTATTGTGATTCCACTGTAAAAAACTAGGCTGCAAAAACCTCAGCTCTTATCAGCCTATTATTAGTAACTGTTTTAATAAATAATTATTGTAAATGTTTTGTAGGTTGTTTATCTTCTTCCATGACATTGCAAGAAGTGACTTGGGTTGGAATGGCAAGACCTTGGCTTGAAAATGACAACGTCGACAGTCCTGTATCAGAGACCGGCAGACTGATAGATTTTAGATCTGTGATGTGATGTCAAACATAACAGAAGAGAAAGGAGTCCCTTTTGTAACATTGATGAGAGTCATTATCAAAATAATGATCGTTAGTGTCTAAGAACACTATAATGATAATTGTAATAAAAAAACAAAGTGAACCTTTAATTCTGATGATCACTCAAATAATAAACATTGAGGAAATAAAACTAGTTACATGATCAAAGGACTTCCAGTGTTTTATTTCACTACCTTTTGCTAGGCCAATATAATGCACAAATAGCTACAGACAAACCTCCACTATTGACCACAGCCACCTCTCTACCAACTATTTTTTGGCGTGGGTGATAGTCCATAAATTGACTCGTTTAAACCTCTTTAAAACGGCCACAACTCCACAACGGCAAACGCCACTAAAGCGTGTCCCTTATTGCTAAAATAACCTCTCAACAACAGCCAATTTTTTCAGTGAATGACGAAAAGTAAAGAATGATTATGAACTTTGATCTTTCAATTCATGAAAATGCAGTACTTTTTTGTGACAACCTTTTTTAGAACATACTTCCGCGCATGTTCCTCAAGCTCAGAGACAGTTAAGAACATAAATTTTTTTTACAGCTCGTTTTTTTTTAGCTTGAACCTGTGAAACCTAGGGTGCCTCCAGCACAGGGTTTCAATGAAAAAGCTAAGATTTCCTAGTCACCCAAGAGCAAACGGATCATTATAAGTTTCTGGGAAACTGCCCACCCACCCCTCCCCTAAGCCTAAGCCAACATTAACACTTTCTCACTTTAGGCAAAATGTTAGCTTAGCGAAGGGGTAGGTGGGCAGTTTCCCAGAAATGTATGATGTCTGAGCAAACACAAGGCCCCAGTGTTACGTTTTTGCACAAGATTTCCACCAAGGTGGTTTGTTTAAGTGGTAACCACCCCTGGACTCCCGACACTGCCAGGCAGTTATGGGCAACTGAGTTGTGACTTTGTTAAAGGAAACATTCTACTGCTGTCAAAACAATAGTTTGGGTTTTGTCACATCTCCTGGGAAATACGAGGGCTTTGTTGTAAACACAAAACATTTATCACCACCTCAATAAGAGATCTCACTCGTTTATTTCACATCAAATTTCCTAACCACGTAATCTCCTTTCTGATGACATACAAAGCACTATCTTACAGCACCATAACGAGACAGTCTCCAGGGTAGACCAAATCTGTGATTCACTAGTGTTTATGGCTAACATGAAAGAGACTCTCTATGGGTAACTCCAATAAAATCGCCGCATGAGTTTAGTCGTGCAATGATGGCAAAGAAATCTGCCAAAAAGTGTGCTGCACGTTCAGAGTTTTCATCCATAACTTATTAAACCTGTTGCTTTAATTTTATTGTTTCTGTTGTTGCTGAGGTTTGCTTGACCTGCGACAATTTCATTGAAAAAACCAATGATTTAATGGAAACTGAGCATCAAAAATGACATCCATGGGTACCCATAGAGAGGCTCATGAAATGACCTTATTTTAACTTATTGTCTCAATCTACACTATACTGTTCCATCAGTTTCACATCCCAGCGACTGTGCATACACCCCTTAGGCAAACCACTTTCGGCTTTGCTCTAATACTGATGGTTGGCAACAAACAGACTTTCCCCACCAGCCAAGCTGGCTCCTCCCTTGTACTCTCCTTTAGATGCAGCACCATTAGCAGCAGCACGCTTGAGAAATTCTGCTTGACCAGCTTTCACTTGATCTGCCTTGCCGCCCCAAGCCTTCAGTGCACTTGCTTGAAGAGCACGGCCAAATGAGAAGGTCAACTTCCATGGCTTCTTGCCTAAAGAACAAACATACACTCTCAGATTTCATGCCTTACCAGTGTGCAAAGAAAGTGGTGTCCGATAGCCCGGGGCTAGTGGATTTTGCTATCGGGCTAGTGAATTTTGTTTTTAACTTGCCCGACGGGCAAGTGATGTTTTTTGAGGAATTCAAATAACAGAGGAACTGTGAAATCAATTCTGCTAGTCAAAAAGTTTTTGGAGCTAGTTGAAATGACGTCTGGGCTAGTAAATGCTAGCTTCAGCTTGCCCGAATGGCAAGCTCTAAAAATGATTTTCTTTGCACCCTGCTTACCCTGGTTTTTATTATTATATGCCTACCCCAGAGACAGATTTTAACTTCTGGTTTAGTCTGTTTATGGAACAGCCCTAAAATCCTTGCTCTGGGTACCAGTCTGTGCAAAAAGATTTGATTATGCACCATGACTGGCCTGTTAAGAAAACCGTTGTCGATTTGCCAATAAGGTTGAAGGGAAATTCAAAATGCATTTCTGGTAATTCCATTGTGAGCCCAGGGTGTTCATTAGGCATTGGAGATTGTAGAAGTCTCCATCTACTATGTTGAATTCTCCAGCTTACGTTAGGTAGCCTATGACTATTTTTTATTCAGATGTGGAGCCTTTTTCAAAATATTCTCCTGTAATGTCACATTTTTCAACTGCTAATAGAATTCTTATGAAAACCCTGCCCTTTGGCCATCCTTCCTGACAAGAGTTCTTCCTGTTGTTGTAACCTCTATTAACCCAGCTTTAGTTTGAAATTTGGCCCATTTTTATTGTCAAAACTCTAGTTTGTTTCATCCATAGTACGGTTTTTGAGGAATCTTTGAACATCTTTAATCACTGACAAAGATTATTTTACCATTACTGACAATGATGAAATTGAATTTTGATAGTATGTACTTCATGCAAGACTTCATAAATCTTATGTCATAATTTGGGGGCTGGGTCGATTTGTGGGGGAGGGGGGTTCGGTGACAATCAGGGGGAGGGGGGTACTGCAAAAGAGAGAGTCTCCAGATTTTAGATCTCCAGAGGTTGGAATCCCTGCCAAGGGAGTGGTTGCTTAATGGAGCTTCAACTGTAGTTCAAACAGTCAAACTAATCACCTGGGTATTGGTTGATGGCATTAAGGTTCACCGATGCCTCTTCTTCTGACTGTCCTCCAGACAGAAACACAACACCAGGCATTGCAACAGGTATGGTTCTCTGGAAAGCTGTGACAGTGGCCATGGCATTTTGCTCTGGTGTGTTCTTGGTTGGGCAACTCTGGCCTAAAGAGGAAAGAAGATCAATTTTTGGTTTATTATGTTAACAAAATTATTGAGTACAAGTGGAGGCTTTCAAAATAAAGAGTATTGCCATACACAGGTCTAATATCTGCCTCCTCAGGTGCTTGGTTTTTCGCATAGAGGCAAGTGCAAAACGTGAGTGACACTCAAGTGATTGGTGATTAAGACTAGTGTAAGGCCCTGTCTTCCTTTATTGACAGAGAGACATCTGGGTACAAGGCACGGTTGAAAATGATAGACTGTGTAATGTATGTTATAGTTCAGGCCTCCGTTGTTCGAAAGATAGATAGCCCTATCCACTTTATAAATCTCTATCCAATGGAGAGTGCACCAATGGATAGTGCAATTATTGGTTTCCCTAATACTTATCCACCTGACAGAGATTTATCCGATGGATAGCTCTATCCAGCTTTTGAACAACAGGGGCCTGAAAATAACTGTTTGCAACAGTTATTGATGTTTTAACAAATTTAGACTGTCCCTTAGTCTTGATCATCGATTGGCAATTTTATTACAACAAAAGTGCTGCCACATACAGAGACCACATCCATAATGATGCAGTCAGAGACAGAATCAGGCAAGCCATAGGGCCCTACGATGATATCTTAACCATGGTAAAAAAACACAAGTTAAAGTGGTTTAGGCATGTATCAAGATCAGCAGGGCTTGCCAAGAAAATTCTACAAGGAACAGTGCAAGCTAAGGAGGGAGAAGAAGGGGCCGACGAAAGAAGTGTTGGGAGAATAATACCTCTGAGTGGACCACAGGAAAACATAACAGATTCCAATTATTGGATATTTTAGGGTATTTAAAGAATACCCATAAAAATCCTAAATTTGGCAAAGTGAGACAAGTCCCAACCAGGGAATTCCCAACCAATTTCCCTGGTTGGGACATGTCTCACTCTTCCAAATTTGGGATTTTTGTGGGTATTCTTTAAATACCCTTAAATATCCAAAAATGGGAATCTGTTATTTTTTCCTGTGGACAGGGTTCAAGTTTTGCGACGCCCTAAGAGAAGGTGAAGACAAAATCAAATGGAGGGAAAGGGTTTCTAGGTCCTTGGCACCCCAACAGTCACCATGAATACAGGACAGGTGCAAGGCACAAGTTGCTGCCACAGACTTACAAGTAGAGAAACAGTCAAATAAAAGTCTAGGAGTTCACCAGCTGTGACCGAAGTTGTGATGATGACCACTCACCATCTGTACTTCATCTTTTAATGCTGATTTGTAAAACAAATCAAGGCAAGATGTAGCAACGGGCTGCTATCAGAAATTTTACACGGTCAGCAAGAAGGAAAATTTGGCATGTACATACTGGCAAGACACTGTGTCCAGGGGTCTGTTTCATGAAAGTCCTGATTAACTAACAGGCCTGGAAAGCTGTTGTTATTTACATTCAAGATAGAGGATTCAATAGCCTGAATTTCATCCGATTACTTCGAGTCGTTATTATACCCTCAGTAATTTGGACGTTGTTTAGAGGACAAAACGACTCGAAGCAATCAGATGAATTTCAGGCTAGAGGATTCAATAGTTTGGCAGATAACTTCTCAAACTCATTAATAATTCATTAAGAAAATACAAAGGAAATTAATGTTTAATGAGTGTTTGGAAATCGGATGAAACACTGCTTAGTATTTGCATTCTTAATTTCTCCTTCAAAAATGATTTTGTTTGAGAAGAAATATCAAACATTCGACACAGTGTTTCATCACCAGATGAAACACCTCGAAGTTTGTCAAAAATACTCCGCTGCGCGTCGTATTTTCAACTCTCTTCTCGGTGTTTCATCTGGTGATGAAACACTGCATCTCATGTTTGATATATTACATGATAAATCTATTACAGCCTACTTCAAATGTCAAACTTTTCGTGTACTTAACCTAATTCCTTTAAATAAGAACATGAAAAGATCAAAAAATGAATCAATCAAGTCTGACACATCTAATTTGGGTGGCACTTTGAATATTAACTTTGCGTGGCCCACATTGACTTTGGAGTGACTTGTTTTGAATCAAATGCATAAATATACCTTAATTTATTTTGACTGCTTAGCACTGTAGACCGGTTTATGTTGTAAAAAGGAATTTAGTCCAAATAATTAAGTTCAACATCTGAATCAACCATCCAACTTAAATCATTTGAGTTGACCCAAATAAGTTATAAAGTTCAGTACATAAAAAGTGTGATGTTTGAACCAGGCCTCAGTTAACAAAATCAAAAATATTAGGAGCTGGTTTTATAGCTTGGAACTGTACTTTTATTTTTGTTTAGATTTTGATTTGAATATTTGATCTTGACCCTGAAAAGTTACCAGGACTTTCAAGAAAAAAGCTTCTGCTATCTTATTATTTCATGAAATAATGTACAATGCTGTATGATTATTCATCAAAATGCCGCGTCAGTGCAAACTTCATTATGCATGAAACCACAAATGATAGGGACTGGGTCAAATTGAATTTTATATAATCTTGGATCAATTCTTTGACGGTACTTTCACTATCAAATTACGCAATCCCTGATTATGCAATTTGGAGCCAATATTATCTTTTTGTCAAAACAATTCAAGCATTTAAATCACAGATATTCAATTGATATTCATTTTGACAAGATTTCACAAATTATGCTGGTAACATTGAAGGATTCTTATGAAGACGTTACTGAAAAATTTCCAATTGTTGATAATTTTTTTTAGCTAATTGCCCGGTCTAGATCATTTCCAAATGACCAGTTATTAGTTTGTTTTGAACATGACGTCTGCACATTAATTTACAAGTCATGAATAACAAATTCAGTACTGAAATTGTGAATCCAAAAGAAAAACCGCAAAGTAACAAATTTTATCATCAACGCGGGATGTTGGGAGAACACGAGAAAAGCTTGTAAATCACGAGCATTCGGCTCGTGATTTACAAGCTTTTCGAGTGTTCTCCCAATGTCCCAAGTGGGTTATCACGCCGGTAAACCCATAGAAAGCGTGGTCTATTGCTTTTATAAAGTAAATTTAATTTTTCTATGAGTTTCCATAGGTTTTAAACCTATCAGAACGCGCGTACTATCTTCGTTATTTTATAAAAGTAAATAGAAATGATCAGAAATGTGCAAGAAGCCATAACTGAAATATACAAAGTAACTTGCACAGGAGCCGTTTGCAATAAATTGGACAAAATAACTCAGAAGAAATTTGGGGTTAAATACTGCCACGTCATGTAGGAAATGAAGCAATGACGGGACCAATATCCAGACACAAACGAATACGGATACTGATAGTACTAATATGACCATTTCTCAACTTATAGAAAAACAAACATTTCACCTACCAGCTGTGACCATGTTAGGCTTCAGCAAAGTTCCCTCAAGGTAGACATGATGATCTACCAAAGCCTTGTACTGAGCAGAAAGCACGGCTTCCGTGACCTGCTGACAGCGTTCCAGAGAATGATCACCATCACACAAAATTTCAGGCTCTACAATGGGTACAAGGCCATTTTGTTGACAAATGGTTGCATAGCGAGCCAGGACGTTCGCGTTTTCAAATATGGCCAGTTGCGAGGGCGTGTGTTCGGAGATTTTTAACACACAACGCCACTTGGCAAAGTCACAACCATCTTTTTTGTACTGTGCACATCTCTCAGCGAGCCCGTCAAGTCCTTGCGTGGTTCCCTCTCCAGTTGTTCCTGCAAGAGGCACGACACCTTTGTCGACTTTGATGCCCGGAATGATCCCTAGGTCGCGGAGAATTTTCACAAAAGGAGTTCCGTCATCTGCTTTCTGGTAAACAGTTTCATGGAAGAGGATCACACCGCTGATATTCTTTGCCATTTCTGCGCCAGATGTGAACAGAAGCTGTCGGTACAAGCGCCGGTTTTCTTCTATATTTTCGACTCCGATGCCTGCAAGTCTCTTTCCCATGGTTCCTGTGCTTTCATCTGCAGCGAGGATTCCTTTACCGGGAGCGACAATGGCTTCAGCAATCCTCTTCAGCTCTTTCTTCAATTCTGGTGTTAAAGGAGCGTCCATGGCGATCAACAGAACTCTTTTGACCCTCGAAAACTCGTAGTAAACTTCGTTCGATGGCTGCAACTTCGAGATGAGGACGAAGGTCGCTTGCTCTGCAAGCTGTACCTTCCTTAGAAGAGTCCTTATTGGCTAGTTCTGATAAGCAGGTCATACATTTGGCCAATCAGAACACATTTTAGAACGTGGTCTTTAAAAAAGCACTGGGACGTGACAACTGACTCATAATTTATCGAAAATTTGTGTAGACGTGTCATGTGGAAGTAACTTGGTCTAAAATGGAAAGGAATCTGTTAGGTTTTTTTACTTTTTTGTTTAGCATTTTTCTGGTGCAACTCTTACTATTAAAAAAAGCGTCAAATACGACTTCATGTTACGGTAAAAAAGTGGGTATGGAGAAGGCGTGGTGATGGGATGAGCAGTTGGAAGGGATGAACTGGGAACCATAAAGAAGACAATGAAGTTTTCCCCCAGACTTTCCCGCGCGTTTGGCAGCGGGTGTGTTTTTTCCCGCGCTCTTTTTATAATACCACCTGACCACCAGCACATCGTAAAAGCTCCCTGCAAGACTGTCTCGTTTCACATTTTAGACTTAAATTTCGTCTCATTTCTTGATGTGTAAAGGCAGTGAACGAGATCCAGGGAAACTCAATATGTTGAGGTAAGTTGTAAAGGTATGCGCGAGTAAACGGAAGTCAATGTTTTAAACTTGGAAACAATTTAAAATTCAACACAGTTCTCAGGGCCGTACATAGCGGGGGGGCGAAGGGGGCAGTTGCCCCCGCCAGGAAAACTAAATGTTTTTTTTCTAACATAGTGTCTGATTTTGCTGGGCTGTTTCTTGTAGCTATATTGGTCCGAAATCTCACGAAAACCGAGTTTGCCCCCGCAGACAAAAAATCCTAGGTACGGCCCTGGTTCTGTTCAGAGAAATCTTCCAAGGCTATGAATCAACACTAGCTCCCCGAATTTCACAGGAAAAACATCTTCGCTGAAAGACACACTTCTATCCCATAACCACCACCTATACATCTGCCATGTCCACGTTTTTTCTAACAGATACATTCATCCTTGTTTTGACCTATTTACTGTTGAAAGCTCACTCACCCCTTCAATTATAAAACCCCCTTTGGCTATATACTTCCCTTATTTTTCTTCTATAACTAATCCTCTCAAAAAGGCCTTTGAAATAAATATAAGCCCCAGGGCTTATTCTTTTTGAAATATTTTAAAAGTATTAATTTTCTCTGCTTTGATTAGATTGGTCACTGACCAATCAGCAAAATTATGGTAAAGCCATAATTATCTGTAGAAGGGCTTGAACTTTGTATGGCAAAATCAGTTATGAGGATAATTTCTTTGTTTACTTCACTGACAAGAACCACAGCTAATAAGCAGGGCACTCTATTTTCGTTGCCAAGATTGCTAAGTACTGAAAAGTATTTAGCAAAGGAGGTTTCATTGAATGGTCACTGACATTTTGACCACAGAAGTGAATAAACTAACAGAGTGAGGGGGCACAAGCTCCACAAATGAATGGTATAATACCAAGTCAAATGGCTGATAATTTTCATCTCACCAGCTGTACTATTTTTGTAGCCCTTATTGTGTAAGTGAGGCAACTGAGGTGAGATGTAGCTGGTTTGAGTAGAGTAATTAACTGTATCAGAAAGGTTTGAATAGTGCTGCACATTGACAAACATCTTGAAATTAACATTCATGCATTTCTCACTTTAGCCTGACATTAATATTATATTATATGCCCCTGATCATTGTCATGAAAATGAAATACATGTAGATGACAAAATTGAGAAAAACATTGCAAATTAGCCCCTCTGAAGTCATTCATGCATTGCGCTATTGAAAGAAACTTTCCTTTATCAACATAACTGATGAGGAAAAGAGCTGGGGAAAAGCACAGCACATTCATGTGCTGCGCTATTGAAGCTTAGAAACTTTCTTTTATCAGTTATGTAATTTATGGGGAAAATAGCTGATTCCTTTTAGTGAAGTAACAAAATAGGCTTTTCCTTGGCCATTAGTGTTCAATGAAAGCACTGCATTGCCACAATGGGACAAACAATATTAGCTTGCAACTGACAGCAACCTTATCAAAATTAAGCAAAGCTCACCTTTAAAACCTCTTAAGCTGTAATATCTATATACAAACTCTCCAGACCAAATAAGTTAAGAGAATTTTATGTTTGTTATAAAAGCATTTCCCCTTTAATGATCATTTTATCAATTCTCATAACCTTATATCTTGATCTTTTATCGATAATGTTAGGAGAAAACTGATGTTAGCCGCTCTTGGTACTTAAAGGCTTAAAGACTCTGACAAAGTTTTTTAAATGTTGTGCCCTAAAACCCCAGGACAGACTTTGAGATGGAAACCAAATTTTCATTTTAATTCCATCCAAATGCACCCTCCATTGCAGAAAGAACACAATGCAAAGGTTTATAAATGTCAGGTGGTATTGTGAATATACCTTAAAGATCCAAATATACCAAAATAAAGCAACACTGATGGAATGTTTACTTAATTTAATGTAAGTAAAAAAGTGATGATTTCACAGAAACTACTCCAAAAACAAACAAAGAAAACAAGACCAAAAAAAAAAACAAACAAAATTGATAACATGAGAGTTCCTCTTTTATAGCCCTTATAAATATCCCAGAAGTCTGCTATTTTTAGCCTCCTGCAAATATTACTTGCCACCTTCTTCTTACAAGAATTACCAGTACGTTATCCTCACCTATTAAAACTTATGTATCAGTGGTCCTTGCTGCCTACTAATTTTGTTAGCCTGCCTGCTACTATAAATCACTTTGAGAGGTTGTTTTGGTACTGCCATTCTGAAGAAACTTGTAGTTCCTTTACATTATAGTAAACAAGTTTTTGGTTTAGTTATTTTACACCTCTTTCCCAAAATCTTGCCCATAAACATAAAACTGCATGATATTAATTTGATTGTTGAGTGACAAGGCTTCCTATTGCATTTACCACCAAAAGGTGTATAGAATGCTGAAATTTCATCAGTTTGGCAAATTAAATGGGTTACAAAAATGCAACTGTTGGCATTCAGCATTATCTCAAACATGTATACAATGATTCAATGTTCCGCCAATTGAACTTGTTTATCTACTGAAGAGGTCCAAATGGCAAAGGGATCATCACTCTAGACTCCATTCGCCGGATAAGTGGAACTGAACAAGGAAAAAAGAAACAAGTTGTTAATAGTTTCAGTCATGTTGAACCTGCACTGCTTATAAGAAGGTGCATGTAGGCTCATTTTCTAGTCGAGGTTGTCTTGAGACACCCATGCCTCCAGAACACCCAACCTGTCCCCACCATATTCCTGCTCTTTTGAACTAATTTAAGCTTGCAAATTATAATGCTTTGCCAAATCCTGTTGGCAAAATAGAGTACTAATCTAATGATATTTCATTTTCAGCCAATAGTTTTCTTTCTCATATAGTTCTTGGAAAGTGAAAGGGTTTGTGGTGGGGGAACTTTACTGGGAGGGAAGACAAGAAGAAGAGGGGGGAGTGCAGGTGTCCTCCTTATTTCCATATAAAATTCCATATAATATTTTATAATGTTTCAGGTCTTTCTAGACTCCTTTCACTTGGCACCTCTGCCTCACAACCAAGTCTAAATGTAAGTCAATTTCTGTTACACAGAACCCTGTTATTAAAAATGATGTCCACAGGAAAACATCTTTACCAGTGTTAGCAACACAGTCGTCCCATCCAGGCCTGTTCCATAGATTGTGCCTGATCTCCTGCCTGGTTGCAAGATCATCATAAGCTGTAGACAACAAATAAACCAAACATCTCACTTTCATGTCCCAGTCTTAACTGACAAATTCCTGTTACCAGTCAATTACACTTTCCAATACAGTAACTGTTGTAAATGTCTCAAAGCATTTCATTGCCAGAAAACTGTTACATAATATGTTGCAATAGCATATTATATGAAAAAGTCTAACAGCAAAGCAAAATACAGCCACAGTTTATCAGGAAGGGAGCTATTCTAGTAAACAAAGAAAGCACTTACCCCATATGTGATGAACCACATATAGTTCACCTATTTGAGAAAAAAGCCCTGCAACAGCATCATCTTCCTGCTGACGGATTAAAATAGCCTTTCCCCTGGAAATAATATTTACCAATGATGAAACAAATTTCCTTTTAAATTAAAGTAAACTTGAGGATCATTTATATCAACCTTTTTTAAATCTGGTACTGGTTAATGGGGGATATACTTATAAGTTAGTAATATTTAAATAGGAAAAGGTGCCGGGTTAAGCAGCTCAATACATTCAAGGCCTTTTTCTTGTTAAAAATACCTCTTAACGTCTATTACCAACTGAATTTGAGGTACATTTACGTGTTGTAATGAATGTGACAGGCTAAGGCTTAGTTTTTTTTAATCTAAGTTAAAAGGGCCCTGTAAAATTTTTCCATGTTTTAAGCATCTTACTGATAGACAGTGATCATACAATTTAGGGTAAGGCAGGCATCAGAGTGCTAACTGGCAATCCTCTAACGTTTTGGCCTACTAAATGGCCATAATAATACTGTAACATCAAAAGTACAAATAAAAATACTTAACCTGTGTATAAAGCAATACAAATCGCTCTTTGTTAAGTTGTACTTGCACATTAAAATGTATCTAATATAAAATTTTGTTATCTGCAAATTTGTAGTTTAGGATAAGAAACAACTAGAAGTGAATTATGATCATTAATCTGTAGTTTAGGATAAGAAGAGGGGCAATGAAAGGGTGCTTACTGAAGAACTCATTGTAATAACAATAGAAAAAATTGAATTTTAACGAAAAAGAAGTCTCACCAGTTGTTTCCCCACTCAATGAGGGTTCCAGGCTATAGACAAAAGGACATTAAACAATAAGCAGTCAGTGGTCAAGAAAAGGAAACAAACCTAACAGTTTTTTACTTAGCCCTTTAAGCTCCAATCTCCACAAACAAATTCTCCACACGAACCTCCATACATTTCTTTAAAGAATTAGTTGAGAGACTTGGATAAAAGATCAAAGCATTTGCTCTGTGTTGATATTTTTTTAAAATTCTCTTAACTTTTTCTTTCATTGTGCAGTGATGTTGTTGGGAGAAAGTTTATGTTGGTCACTCTTGGGAATTAAAGGTTAATCCATGAACAGCTTTCCAAGTCATTGGACAGGAATTACCTTCAAATAATACGTTCTAAGTTCATAAATGTGGCTGGGTTCCCGAGGTTCTGGTTCTCCAAAGAAACTGAACTCGTAAAGAAGCTGGTTCTCTCTGTTGTTCAACATGACACGCCTCTTTCGAGCAAACTCAAGGAATTCCTAAAAACAAAATAAATAACTTATTGATTTAATATTGATCTACAGATTTAAATATTGTTCATAAAAAAAGTCCTACAAGTCATTTACATGAATAACTAAAACAAACATGATCTTTGTAAAGAAATAAAGTAATAAAAGTAACAAGGTGTATTAAAGTCATATGTGACTAAAGAAGCTCCCTGCTTTTACTCAGGTAGAGTCCATTACTAGTGAATTATAACAGTTCATTTACCTAATTAAAGCGATAGTCATAAAAATCTATACTAAAGTGTATTTGAAATCTACAGAATCTTACTGTTCATGGGTAGGAAATGCTTAATGTTAAATTTATGAATTAAATTTCATTCATGTTGGTGACATTTAAAGCCATCTTGAGACGTCTCTCTCCCCGATTTTTTGTTAGGGGAGGAAGTGTCTGTACACAGGCTTAACACTGTAAAGACCCCACTTGAAATCAGAGGACTGCCAGAGACGAAAGACTTGATTTACTTATTTTTTAACAAAACATGCTCTATGCACCAGTTATAATCATTATCAACTGTACATTAAAATGTAAATCATTCTGTTCAGTGTTGACCATTTTAATAAGTTTACGTCTTTGATACTGGAGGTTTCAGTGTACAATGTACAATAACATTACATAATTTTCAGTCAAATATTTTCAATAATAACGAAACACACCTTGTTTTCTCTGATGTACTGCTTGGCCTTTACAACTGATTTGTACCCACCTGTGTACTTCCAAAGGTGGACTGTAAACAAAAACAAACACACTAACTATTGTAAGTAAATGCATAACACCTGTTATAAAAACATGAAGGAGAACATGGCAAGAAAAGCTTGCCTAGACATATCCCTGAATTAACCTCCCTAAACAAAAAACCAGGGCCGTAGCCAGGAAGAAACTACAACCGAGGCGAACACACGGTCCGTTGTACGAAATCAGCGGTATGAAATCTTCTAATATTATCAGTCTGATAAAAAAAATAAAAATCGACAGTATTTGGTAAAATTTTACCGAGGCGAGTGCCTCGGTTCGCCTCATACTGGCTACGGCGGTGAAAACTGATTTGTACATATTACCAGAAGGATAGTGGGGGTAATTTCTAGTTCTTTTAAGAGCTGGAGGGTGAAACATTCAAATAATGATATGCAAAATGTCCTGTTTAGTTCATACTAAAAATGAATTTCTAAGGTTGGTTAGTGGGACAAGTGCACATGGGGAATGAAAACATATTCTGTATTTACCATCATTTGAGGAAAAAGTATGAATCAAAACAATCCAAGTCACATTATTTAAATCCCACATGTTTTTTTATTTTGTTATTTTTGAGGTATGTTAATGCAGTAAAAGCTTCTGAACTGAACCTTTGGATGATGGCAATTACATCATCACCACCACCATCACCATCATCATCACTGTTACAGTGATTTCATCACAATATGTATCTTATTAACCCATTCGCCCTGAGCCACCCGTGCCCGCCCGTGCGGATCCGCATCCCTTCTACCGCTTGTGATGTCATTAGTTTTAATGGTCAAGGATCACTTTGTCTACTACTGTGTGCAGAGTGAAGGGATCTTTCAAACCATACCAGAATGAGCAAAATTCAGTCAAAGACACTGGAGAAAAAGGCAAAAAACCAAGTCACGTTGACCGGAAAATTGCCATGAAAATCTTGTTCCACTACCCATCTACCTTTCCTTTCGTCAAATCCTAAGATCCTAAAACCTTTCCTAAAAACTTTTCCCACCAAAATGAAGCCTATTAAATGCCCAGCAAAAGAAAACAAAATGAGGCAAGAAAAGCGAAAAAAGAGGGAGGAGAGAAAGTGAAAAGTAAAAGTCAAGACTCCTGTGTCACTTTTAAACCCAAACACTATCTCAAGATTTTGCTTTCTGCACATGCCCGAACTTCACAAACTAATATTTTGTATCCAGATCAGAAGGCTGCGAAGTGTATGACCTGTAAAGTACTTTGTGGTAAGTTTTAGCTCTCAATAGCAGACAGTGACCAGAAAAAAGCTCTACTAGCTCGAAAACGCATTTTTCGGCAAAATCTCCAGGGGTGAATGGGTTAAGTAATTGAGCAGCGAAAAGTTTTGTACACTCACTTGCTTGATCAAGTCTTCCAAACATTGTTGTCCAGGCTCCACATAATTCTCCAGGAAACTGTTTGTCTTCACTTAGTTTTGGTATAAATTCTCCTCTGAAAAAGATAGCAAAAACAAAACACTCCAATAAGCCATAAATTATTTTTAGTAAAGTCCATACTTTATTCCAAAGTAGATGTATATTTTGAGGTTCTAAAGGCCATTTCTGAGTTGTCTCACGCCTCTTTTTCGAAGTTAGGTAAGAGTACATTTTTTCGTATCAAAATAGTTTTTAATTCTCATTCCAAAAATTTCATTTTCATATTAAAGTTTTGCACCTCTTCTCATATTGAAAGTGAGGACTTTTTGGAACTTTAAACTGGCCTGAATTGTCCTTTGATCAATTATTTTAGTTTGCTTTGCTTTTGGGTATGGTTGTGTATGATAATAAGTTTTACACAAAGGAAAATAAAATTTGAATCAAGAATAAAATTGAACTGCAAGATAATACACTGTACTTCCCCAAACTCACAAGGAATTTCATGAATAATAAGGGCTAGGAGACAAATAGACTGCAAAACAATCCGTATTTTTGCGTATTCAAGTATGCGTGAACAGTCAAACAGAAGGTCTGGAACGAGGTTGAAAACAGAGAGCGAGACCTGAGGAGAGACGTTACGGGAGTGTGAGGCTTGCACGCTTCACGTACGTAAGACTCTTACGGCACGCTTTACAGATTTCGTTACTGATTTTGCAAAAAAACCCGACTGTTTTGCAGTCTAGGAGGCAAAGTAAATGGAGATTCACCTGGGTTAAAAAATTTTAACCTGAATGTAATTTTGATCTGTAACACTTACATTGTACCTGTACATCAACTAAGTCTGACTCTTGCCCCAAATTCCTTATAAAAAACATCATGTGCCAGGGGATATCATTTTCACACAATGGAAAAACAGGGTACTAACAAACACGAAAGTATTTAGTAATGAAATTTAATTATTAATGTTTTGAAACAATCTATCAGATTAAATACCTACACCAAAGACACATATTCTTCAATGCACTCTGGTTTTACATCATTAACTATAGAGAAAGAAGAAACAAAAGCGGTATATTAAATTCTACAATGCATTTTTTACATTAAAAATTGGTTTTATTAGCCAACTGGCCTGCATGAAGAGATTATTTCCACCAAGTAGTCTCTACAAGCCAGGGCAATTTTTCTCACAACTTGTCCTTGATCAATTTTGTTGGAATACAAGCTGCAAAAATATTGGCCTGTAAGGTGAAATTACATCAGAAATAAACACGTCTTGCAACAATTTTATAACAGCAAGGAATGATTGCTGCTGTCAATAAGCAAACAACAAGCAAACCTCTCAGAAAGGGGAAGTTTACTTCAATGAGTTAACAAAGGTCATAGTATGTGAGTTGTGATTGGGAGATTTCAATTCATTTTGTGTGTTTCTGTTTTTCAAGGGTTAATTGTTACTAGCTTGTGATCCTATGATTGATAGCAGCAAAAAAACGCCATTTGTGTGTTAGCTGGCTTTTCAACTTCAGAGTTCACGAGTTATTCAGTGATTTGTTACTAATAGCTATGGGGAGTCCTGGGACTCATCTTCTGCCAAGTCATGAGTCCCAGTCCAGAAATGCTGGGCGATCCCGCACCTATCTGAAAGATTGTTTTTGATTAGCTGGGAAAACAATAGGGATTGTCACATAACAATGCCCCTATCCCTGAAATCAATGGAAGTGCAGATTAAAGGGGACCAGTGAAATAAGAGGTTTAGAACAGTGCAGGTCTACTGGAAATGCTTGGGCCTTTATGTAACCAGACACATAATCTGAAGACAGACTCCAAACCTCTGAATTACAGTACACTGAATTATAAATATAGTCCTTCTATTTTAAAGCGCAACAAAGGCAAAAAGAGAATATTAAAATATTCATCATTACACAACAGCCATAATAACTGCCACAGAAATTACATGAACTACTAGCCTGAATTTCATCCGATTACTTCGAGTCGTTATTACTGCCTCAGTAACGTCTGAATCGACCGGCCGTTAATACCGTCCAGTGATGTCACTACTCCTTCGCTTTAATTCACGCAAAAAGTAAGACATAATTTTCAAGTGGCAAAGCAAGAAATATCGTTTAGAAATGTCTACATGATACAGAACAGCTGACAGAATTGCTTTACTCTTTTCGATCGTAATTCATGTTTAACGTTCAAACTATCAACTGCATGCAGTACTCTGAAGCGGTTGTAATTCAACCTCGGTCGCAATCATGTAGTGAAGTAAAAACACACACAGAACACTTAGTTCAAAAACACAACAATAATATTTACTTTAATTGAAAAGAAGCTATTTGGTCCTTAATGAAGAAAAAAGAAAACAAGGAAACAAGAAAGAAAAGCTGACAGAATCATCACACTTGACGTTGAAAATAGGAAGAAGGTAGAATAACATGACATTGGTCTCAGCAACTTTGCATAAACAAAATCACTGCGGAAACCACAAAGCGGCTCTAAATGAAAAACCTACCGACTCTCCGCAATGATTTTTCATTCGCAGTTCAAATTCAGTTTCAAAGACAAGCCGGGCAATTTTTCTGTTTACGATAAAGATTATCGAAATGTTTGAACTCCACGCAAGCATGCCACCGATGCGATCCGCTGAATATCAAGCAACAATTCCGCTAAAATTCATCATAATTGTACATAATAATGCAAATTTAGACAATCAACCAATCAAAATCACTACCCGGTTTTCGGGTAGTAGTGACATCACTGGATGGCATTAACGGCTAATCAATTCAGACGTTGCTGAGAGGAGAAAACGACTCGAAGCAGTCAGATGAAATTCAGGCTACATGAACTACCTTATTATATGAAATTTTCGCGACACGTTAATTTTGTGAATTTCGTGATACAAAAGAAAGGGAAATTAAAGTGACACAAACAGTAAGTGTCGCGAACATTACATGACGCGAAAATTAAGTGAATTAAGTCACTCACATTATGTCAATGATCAAGAAAGAACGAGTTTATCACCACTGAAACGTTTACAAAAACACATTTTCCACCATTCATTTTTTCTCCATTCAGAGTCTTTAGGAAGGCAAAAATGCAAAATTGCAAAATTTAAGTGATTCTAAAGATAAAATTTTTGCCAATATGGGATGCCTACCTATATGGGACGCATGACATGAATAATTGTGCCTCTTTGGGGATTTTTATGCATCAGGGATGTAGGACTGGTTATCAAAAGATTGCAGTCAAAGCCTATGCTACCAAACCTTGATAAAACTACATAAACAACACACCTCCAATGCCCACATAGCAATCTGTTGGACTATAGAGTTTAAAGTCAAGTAAACTTACACTCAAACTCATATAATGTGTCCCTTCCTGCCAACACCTTCGAGTGCGCATCTGTTGAATAAATGAATCCCAGGATGAATGAAAACTTCATTCACTTCAGATTATTAATGTTAATATCTCCGAAGGAATAATAACAAAGTTATAAGAAATGAAAAATTTACATAAATCTGGAAATGATAATATAAAAAGAAGCAACAATTATATGCAAACTCTAAGAAACTTTAATTAAAACTTATGTACATTAAGTCTACACTCTAAATTCGCGATTGCTCCAAATCTCTCAGTTGAAGAAAAAGGATTTCTTATTTTACGAGAAAATTTAAAACAAATCATAGGATAAGAAGTCTTTTTTCCGTAATTTAATCAGGCAGTTTGAATTTACAAGAACAAAATCTTAGTCTATGATTTGTTTTTTATATTTTTTAAAAATAAGAAATCACGAATTTAGATTGTCTTTAATTTCAAAGGGATTCAACATGCAGCATTCCAAATTAACCTGTTGCCTTTTCTACGGATCCTAGGCCCAACATCCTTGAAAACAAGCTCTCATCACTATTTCTGTAGCCAGAAAGTGATAGTCCTCTAGCCAATACCAAATTTTGTTTAACAGGGAGTATAGGTCGCCGCACCAACGAGAAAGCTCGTTTAGCCACTAAAAGCGTCGCCATATTGGATGTCACTATTATGGTTATGTAAGTGACATTGGAATGTCTTCCTGTCTGCGTAAAACCGCTGGCCCAGAGGGCCCAGTATCTTTGCAGCTTTTCAGAACCTGAAATAATAATAATAATAATAATAATAATAATAATAATAATAAATTAGCAGTAACCAGGATAAAAACTTGAAATGGTTAATTATTTAAAAACGTGGAAACTTTGTAGCCTTCCATTCTTCGTAATCTTTCTAGGTTGAAACCTGTAAACACGGTAAACTACTATTAAAATTTAAGGTTCAAATAGGTCTAAATATACAGCTAGAACATGTTTATGATTCAACCTAAAAACTCTTTCTTGTAAATGAATAGAGGGTTCTCTTTAAACTCCATATTCAATAAGCAAGAATAGGAGACGTGCCGTAGCCAGAAAAAGTCTACATGGGGATATGTGCCAAAACAGCTGTCTATTATATTGCTGCTGTTATGCCAGCGCTCCGGTAATAGTAGACTGCGAACAGTCTCTTGTTTTTCTTTGCAAAGTTACTGTACGTGAGCGGCAAAGCCGCGAGCCGCGAGAAACGAGGGTTTGCAATCGCGCTGCTGGATGACCAAAGAACTAGACGGATTTTAAGAGAAAAGGCGGACTGCAAGCAGTCTAGGTAATAGGGCTGTGCGCGTGCGTGACTGGTCATATATGAGCAAAGTTTTTGGCAGAGATGGTGTCCGGGTGTGTGTTGGCTTTGACATGTTTGATATAATCAGGAGACGATGTTACTGGCTCCTGGCATGGTTAGCCTGTGGTGCAGCCGGCCCGTGACGCATCATCTAGACCATTGGTATAGTCCGTCTATACAGGCTAGATATGGTCTCAATTTGTTTCCTTTTTCTTGTTCTCTTTTTCTTCTTTTGCTTTTTTTTTTTTTTTTTTTTTTGTACAACCCTTGGGTAGGTCGATAGATTGTCATAAGGGTCATAAAACGTCTTTTCCAAATAAACTCGAATTTTTCACATGTAATCATTTAAATAAACTGCTCTACAGCAGCCAAGGAGCAGTATATTTTTTCTTGTACGCGAATTGCCCCGTCTCATTTCCAAATGCCTCAGATATTTGTATTTCAATTATACAACCTCCTCTGGTTTCCTCACATTAACAGCTCTCAAGGATTTCCTGAATGGTAAATTATTTAGGACTTGTGGAGCTCTTAAAAAGCGTCAAGAAGTTATCTAGTCGTTCAGTAAGCTCTCTCATTCATGTAGCAGCTGTTGCCAAACTTGTTTTTGTTTTAGAAAGCTATTTAGCAAGCTAAATATTGCCAAGTATATAATTGAAAAAAGGTGGTCAGAAAACCAATTTGAAGTACAAGATTGGATCCACGAAAATATATTAACAAAGAAACTAGAAACTATCTTTTCAATCTTTTCTGAGTGCCGAAGCAAAATAAAGAGATTTCTTTGCTACTTCAGACGATGGGTAATATTAAACATGACTGCAAAACTAATATATATGGCACCACCCATTATCAGACATCGAAACTAAAATTTAAATTGAAAAAAACACAGTGATATTGGTTTAAATGGCAAAGGGGCGTAAAAGATCCTCATTAATTAACAAATATAGGTAAAAAGATTAATAACTCATGCATCTGAACGAGTTTAATTAAAACCAGAAATGAATTGGGTCGGAAAATGTCAGCAGGAGTTAGTGTTAATGATTCATTTTCACTCTACGATGCTTCGGAAAAGCACTTGAAAGAAAAGAGCAGAAGATTGCATTGACGCTTTATCTTCCTTTATTCCCTTATTTTTTTCTTCATAAAAGATCCTGGAAGCTGGGGTTGCGGGGGTGGCTGGGGGAAGCGAAGGTTCCGCTTGTCTATGAAGAGGTTCTGTATGGAAGCGTGTATGGCTCAGTAACACTTAATTTCAGGCACTTCAACTGTAAAAACTATACAAGTTGGTAGCGAAACAGTCGACACTCGAGCGAGTGTACCAACGTTAATCGTAAAATTCCACCTGTTCAAACTCCCTGAAAAAATGAACAGATATAACATGCCGCAGACCCTTCCAAACTTTCTTAATTTATTTCTGTTATCTCTTTCCTGAGACGGATTTCAATTCCGGTGGTCCTTGCGAAATAAGGTACAGCTTTTCCACCATGATAATGGTGTAGGGAGTGTTAAACAGTAGATGGCAGAATGGTCGTTGTCGACAAGGCTTCTCCACTGCTACATGTTCACAGTATTAAACAATGCTATAAAGAGTACCCCCTGGAACTCTGTTGCCATTTTGCGTGATGCAGAGTCTGCAAACCATTTTCTAAATAATCTCGAACATGCTCAAGGTGTGAAAATACCTATTAAAGGCTGATTGATATTCTGAACAGCATTTTCTATGGCAATATTAGTTACAGTTATGTTTTTCTTCCAAAGAAAATTTTTGTATTTTTAAGTTAAGCTTTGAAAGTTTTGATGAGCTTTCCCCTTAAGCTTGTGTCGTTAAAAAGACATCTTAATAGCATAAATATGAATTTAGCTATACTTGGACAAAACTACTGACGAAGGAAATGAAGTCTTTTAGTGAAATGAGAGAAAAGTGGAGTTTTAAAAATTGTAAAAGGGATTCTTCTCAGCTCATTAACTTTTGGCAACTGAGAGACTCTGCAAAAACAATGTTTCCATTTGCAGCTGTTTCGCTGAGGCTTTTATCGGTAAATTATCACGCACATCGCTCGTGTTGGTTTTTTTTTTCTAAAAAAGGGTGTGCCAAATACAACAAGACACCGATATACTGGCATGAGTTTTTAAAGAGATTTTTCCAAGTGTCTGCATTACAAGAATGGGAAATTCAAATTAAACTTTTATACTTCTCACGGCAAAGAAAGCGAAAATGTTCGTCGCAATGTATGCTATATGTGTGACCAGGAATCAATTAACCAAAAGACATTAGCTAAATAATTACCGTGAGGCCTGAAAACATCGATTTTCAAGAAAACTTAGACATCATACTGGTTACATATCCAACAACCGCTTATCAAGAGATTATTTCCGAGATGAAACTGATGCAACATATAGCCAAAAACTAAACTATTACTTTTTAGTCACCGCAACGACCACTGAACATCTTTCCGGTGGTAAGCAGGCTTTTTGTTTTTCTTCGCTGGCAATCAAATCTCTCTCTAGATTATGAAACGTAAATTCGCAATTTGAATGAAGCCTTGCGTTAATGGTGATCTGAAGTGGATGTTTTTTTTTTTCATTCTTTTGTGGCCAAGTTCCAAAGACATATGTGTCGATTTGGCTTAAAAGTTTTTAGTTGGATGCCTAGTGATTTGACGAAGTCCATCCGTCCATATAAGATTCACCATCTGTTCAGTTTGGTCCAAGTACAGCCGGTAAAAATACTTTAAAACTCCGTGTTCTTACAAAAACGAATTTCGCATCTGATCTTTTTTGAAAGATGACGTGCCTTTCAAGCAATATGAATCGGACATTGTCATCTGAAGCTACAAACGACACGACCAGCTCATTTTCCTTGTCTCCTGAACCAGAAGCATGGAGAGTTATCCGCACGGTCTTGTTCAGTCTGATAGCAGTTCTAGCCTTAGTTGGGAATTATGTGGTGTGTCGAGCAGTTTGGAGACACACCGGAGCTAAACCGATTGCTCATTACTTAGTCAGCAACTTGGCTTTTGCCGAAATCGTCAGCATGGTGTGTTTGGTTTTGACTTTTCACGCCCGCGAGCCACCTTGGTCTTGGAAACTTGGACATGCCATGTGCAAGATGCTTCCTCCACTACAGATAGCAAGTCAACTCATCATTACAACAACCTTGGCTACCCTTGCCGTCTATCGTTGCGTGCTGCTGACTAAACCTCTCATACACAAACCAACACGCAAACAAATTTATGGTTATGCTCTTGTTTGTTGGGTGGGGTCTGTTGTACTAGTAATCCCCGCGGGGTATTTTCGTGTCTTGAATTCCTGGGGTGAAAACTGCGAGTTACTTATTTGCCAGGAAGTATTTCCCGAAAGCCTAAAACATTACCAGGATGTTTACTCAATCATCCTCTTTGTAGTCAACTTTGCCCTGCCATTTGTAATCATGGCCTTATCTTACTCGTTGGTCAGAAAGAAAATCAGGGAACACATCTTTGTTGTTCAAAGGCTTCGCGACGAGCAGAGCAACGCACTCTCATCGGTGACCCAGCCTTCAACTTGTACTGAAGAGATACAAGCAACAGGGGACATAAACCAAATAGAGCATGAGAATCAGATGACATTTAAACTGGTAAAAATAGAAGATGGGGTTAATACAGAAAAGGTGGTCAAAAAACCACAACGACGGGTAAAATTTGCCCAAAAGATCAGCGGAAAAAAGTCATTCCCTCAAACCCTTTCAGGCAAAAACTGTAAAACAGCTTTGGAACTAGAGAACGATTTGCTCCGAATGGTTTACGCTTTGGTGTTGGTTTTTGTGGTTTGCTACATTCCATATCAGATTCAGTTTCTTTTGATGGAATTCAATGTGAAGGCGTTCATGTATTGGCCTTATCGTTACGTATTCGATAGGCTTGTTTATACATTAACCTGTTTACCAAGTGCCTTACATCCAGTATTTTACGGAATGATGAGTCAGTTTTACCGCAAAGCCTTTATTAGAATGATTGCCTGTAGAAATTCCAAATAATTGTCAAGAGTTACCTTCTATAGCTTTTCACGGTGATTTCGAAATAAGAAATCAGGGGACCATCAAAAGAAAAGTGATGGGGGAGGGAAGGGCAGGGATCTTGGAAGATGCAACAACTTTTAGGACATCTAAAATAGAAATTGTTATTCTTTGTTTGTTTTTTTTTTAAACTGATAGCGTTTTTAATTTTGGCCGGGCTTATAACTGAAAATGATAATATGGGGGCACCTTTCTTGGGGCAAGTTAACTAGAAGTTGGTTTCGAGGTCATAACTTTGAACATGTCAATATCCGAAACACAACATCAATAACCTTTATCGAAATTGGATAATTAAACTTTATGGAAAATAGACTCATGTTCTTACCGTAAATAACATACCACTTTATAGTTCATACGGTACCTCATAGTTGAACAGGGTATTTTCCTGAAGTGCGGCATTGCAGGATTTCCCCAATTTGAAAAATAATACCTCAAAAAATTAAAGTAAGTGCGTCAAATGGGGGTGGAAAGGGGCGAAAACAATAAAAAAGTAAGGATTCAATTTAAATCACAGTTAATACTGTCGGTTACGTAGAATTAAATGAAAAACCAGAAGTGAAGTGTAATAGCATTTTTCGAGTTGTGACTAAGAGATCGTTAAATGTCAGGTAATAACCCCAAGAGAAAAAATTACCAGCTTCTTGTGTTGAAAATAACACAACTAGATGCAGAAACAAGGGATTAGAACTTTCTAAGAAGTCAAATGGCAGCGATGGTGACCCTAACCATAACCCAAACCAATATGGTAGTATGAAAAGAGGATGCCCATCTCACTAGGGTTTTGGGAATGTGGATGCCCAAAACGCGGGGATACCCATATCACTGTAACTCCGGCTTTTCCAGCCCCTCCCATTTTTTAAGGGAAAAGCCCTGGGTACGAGTTTGCTCGTACGCTTCCCATACGATACGGTTGTTATGCGGCGGAAACTCTTTTCATGACAAGAGGTTTTTGGTTTCGAATTCGAATGGCTTAAATTTGGATGAATGAATGAATGATTGAATGAACTTCATTTGTCAGAATTCATACGGTTGAACACGTATTTACATTGAGTAATCGCATTTCTCTGCCCAAATTACCAATAATCCAGGGTGTCCAGTTCCTATTTTTTCCTATTTTTTGAGCCTATTCCTATTTTCTCCTATTTTTAGACTAAAACCTCCTATTTTTCCTATTTTTTAGCTGGTGAAGCCAAAATTTGTAGCAAAATTGAAAATAGAATCATAGTTGTATGTGTTTTAAAGTGAAATTTATCATAAAGCAAGTAGCATGTTGACTTTGATGTTCTAATATTAGTAAAAGTAACAGTTACGTTTGTTCTTTCCATGACCTCTGTTGCCTATTAGAGTTCTGTTAACATTTTTCTTTTGTTACTTTTTGTATAATTTTCTAGTGCACCTGCATGTATTGTATGAAGTGTTATAGTCCTCATGACTATTGAATAATATTTTTCATAGCCCACTGAAACTGCATTTCAGTATCTGTACATGTTATATTTTATTTTGAAGTCTTGCTCGCTTTTATGTTCATCTTTGAAACTGAAAACAGGATCAAGTTGTCCTCACACAACACAGGCCAGATAAATCATCCAATCAGCTTCATGTTTAAAAAACCAATCACTAGCTGATTCTGGATGCTACATGAAAAGAACAAACTAAAGTTTAGTTTACGGCACTAGCTCTCTTGGTGAGCCCTTGTTAAAAGCTATACCCAAGCAACTGGTGAAGGATCCAATATTTTGGTTGCAAAATCGGTCTTGCAGTCATAGCTAAGCAGAGTGTTATGTTCTTCTTAGAACTTAACCATTACACACTTACAATCTGTTTCCAAATAGATCAGTGTCATTTTGCATACACCGCGGAGAGCCCGGTTCCGTACTTATGATTATGCGGTCTTTTGACTCAAACAAGCATATTCTCAACCAGCCACCGATTGCAGATTAATGGAAGGAAAGCTTTCCATAGGACTTTTTTTGATATCCTTCAATGAAAACTCAATCGTAAGAAATTTCTATCCAAAGAAATTTCACTCTTCAAAGCTTTTCAAAGATTTGCCGTCAACTTGAAGGGAATTTCCATATAATCACCTTCGATTATAGAACCACGCTCGACCTGTAGTCAGTCATATCATTCTGATTTAATACAGCGCAACTGAGCCAATAACTCCCTAAACGTTACTGATCATTTTCACTCCTTCTTAGCCGCGAAAGGTGATCTAAATCCTGTGAACATAGAACCTGAGGACTCGTAGCCTTTATTATAACCCTTATGGGGTGCAGGGAGGCTATCTTTGTCGACAAAAGTACTTTTGATTTTCCTATTTTTCTCCTCGTTTTTTAATGCAAAGTTTCCTATTTTTCCTATTTTCTCAATCCTGAGTTTCCTATTTTCCTATTTTTTTTGAGCAACCATGCCGCTGGACAACCTGATAATCATTTCTATTGTTTTTTATATAAAATCGTTAGTAAGACTTTATGGACTTCTAACTTTCCTTTCTCCGTTATACGATACTTGCAGTTTTATGCAAATGTATACGCCAGTTAGTTGCAGGTGGCAGTGACCCAGTCAGAAAGCCTAAGCTCCTTTGGTCACTGCGCACATTTCACTTCTGATGATTAATGTAATTTGTTGTTTTATTTTTCCTTACTTTTGTAATGTAGTGTAATTTTTGTAGTAACCTCTTGAAATAGTGCAAAAATAAAATAAAATAAAAACTCTGAATCTGCATCTAAATTTCAAATAAAGCTTTAAATTTATAAGAAAAATAACACTACATTCTAAAGGCATCAAAAAAATTCTATTTACATGCAACTGTGTAATTAATCCAATCTAAGAGAAACATTTGCTACAATAAATAAATTCTTGATAAAATTATTATTAATAGGATAAGACTTAAACTTGGCAGCGGAATAAGAGACAGATATTTCACGTCGAGTTGAAATTTAACTAATCAAATGTCGTTACACCTTTGAGTATTATGGCCTGTTTGAATTTGTGATGAAAAAATCACAAAGCAAAAATTAAGTGGGCGTCTTAAGGTGTAACAATCAAAATAAAGCAGATCGACGTTAATGACGATAATCCTGAGCGATGATTTCAAGGGCCATAGCCTGTTCCAGGCGTAGAGATAGTGGAGACTGGCCCCCGGGATAAACCCTATAATGCCCTATAATAATATGGGGAGGCCCCGCCTGAAAGGGGTACCTTTCTCAAGCTTCAGGTATATAAAAGGGTAGGGAGTTTACTATTTTAAGTATATGAAAGGGTCGGGAAATCTGTCATTTTGGTCTGTAAAAGAACCTATCAGCGCATTTTATGGTTGTGAAAAAGTCAGGAAAAACTTCCTGGTTTAGTGATTTATTCTTATTTCAGAATAGACATAGTGCATTTGAAGCAGTTAAAAGGGATGCAGCTCATAAACTAGGTATGTGAAAGGGATACCATTTGTCAATTGACGGTATACGAAAGAGGTACCTTTTCTGTCAAAAGGGGGTTTGGACCTCATAGCGGAGCCTCTCTGTATAAATCTTTGTTCAGTGTTTCCCCCCAGGAGAGTGGGATAAAATTGGAAGCAGATAGGAGTACGCGGAAAAGAAAGCCGAGGAGGGTCTTCCGACCTCTGAGTTCGGACTTTTCACCACTTCCCACGTTCTAACTTACAGTCTTCTTAAAGCGACTGATAGTGAACCAACATTCAGAAGACACAGTGTCATCGTATATAAATAGCAAAAACCGTCAAAGCTGTTGTTTATAGATGAACAATCTGCTCTGAGATCTGATAGCGTTAATCACAGCTGTGCAGAGCTGTGTAAGCTGACAGCGGTTGTGGGGGACTGATTGCTTTTACCGGCTGCGAAAAGTAGCAGCCTTTTTATAGACAGACAAATTGAACAGGAATACACCGAACTGAATAAATATTTTCTGTTGTATAATGACTTAAACCTTTTGTACCACATAGTGTTGACTTTACCGAGCCGTTTTTTGTCCTCTAAAAAGGAGCTATAGCAACGAGCAAATACACATTAGACCACAGGCAGACCACCCTCTGTTTGTGTGGGCCGTTGTTAATTGAAATCTGAGCTACGATCCTTTGTTATTTATAGAAGAAATACATTTGAACAATACGGTGGCTATAATTTGTTCGAAAATGCAGAATTTAAAGCAAATTTTTCAATAAAAGTTTGAAGAAAATGTTAACTGTGTCATGTCAGTTTTTTTCGCCATCCCGGGCTGTTTTAAGCGCTATTTTGCGAGATGAGTATTTGACCTCGGCGGTTAGAACTAAACCCGGGGGGTACTCCCTTATAAGGGCTTAATGGGGACGTGCGGCCAGCCAGGGTACCCCCCCCCCCGGGGGAACTAAAGAAGGGGACTTCCTTCAATAGTAAGTCGTTTCCTTGAGATAGAATTATGGCAAACAGAGGAAAAGAAATCGACATATGAAATTTCGAGTCAAACCTTACAAGTACTCCATGGGCGAAGAAGATGATGATTGCAGTATAAAGGCTAGCGTTGCGAGGGAGACTATTCCTCTTCCTGCTCTATACGATGATAGATGATAAGCAGAAAATACTACTTTATGATACACATTACCATTAATTAACCTGTACATGTAGAATCATACTCTATTCTGTGTTAATCAATCTGTCCATATTTACACTACAAAATACATAATTATTTGGAAAATTGACGGATTACTTACGGTTTGAGCAAGCCCGGGCAAGGTAGTACAGGATCTATTCTTTTCGCCTATGACGTCGTAACCTAGGCTCCATCAGATATTGACCTATTTTTAAATATGACATCACCGAAACGGTGGATCCACCCGATCTACCTTGATCCACCGGGCTCAGACCCCCCTTTTATATTCTACTATTCATTCTTCCCTATTCTGAAAGTCCGCTTCTTTTCATTTGTGTCCTAATGGTTCATTCGATGCCATATTGTCATTTCCCTTTTTCGAGTCCATTGTCGTTTTCGTTTTCACAACTGTTGTTGTACAGGGTCATTGCGCATTGACCTTGTAAAGAAAACAACTTTACATCCCTCACACTTGAAAGGCGCTGGATGTTCCGTTTAGATAACGTTTCGGTTCTTTATTCTGTTCCCAGAGTTTCAGACCAAGCGGCTAATTTTGTAAAATAAGTTACGATCCTTACGGTAAGTATACGTGTAAATGCAACTTTACAATAGATTTAAAACTTAATCAAGTTGGTTAGTCGAAGTTTACAATCAGTGAGAGCAGAGAGTTGATGTCATTTTCTTTCACTCGACCATTTATAATCGAGCACAGTAGTCAACGATTGCCTGTGAGCTTTTGACGCCGTGATATAGAAATTTAAGGCGACAAAAACCCCCCTTGTTCAATGTCACGATGTTTGATTTACTTTTTCGGGTTCGAATTAATCCAGTTTTTGTAAGTATCAGTGTATGGTGAGACAACTATCGTAGTTGATGAGTTTAATGTATTCTGATATGACATGATATATGAATCAAAATGAAGCTTTAAAGATCAGAAAGATCGCAAACGCGGCGGTCACTGGCGGTGCTGAACAAGTACAACGCTGCAATTACGAGTGCGTGTTCATGACGAGCCGCACGATCTTAGCAACCCAAAAAACCCCTCAGCATCCAGCCAGGCGGTGTGCGTCACGAGATTCGACCAAAGAATGCGTCATTTGTGAGTGATTGGAGCTGTTTTCAGAGGTATATGTGGTGAAATTTTGGCTTTATTCCAAGTTCGTGTGGGTAATTTGGACACTATACCGCCGTGGAAAGTTGTTGGAACACTTTATCTTAATAGCAGTTGCGTTAGTTTTAAATATTTTGCTTTCTTGAGCGTTTGTAACAAGTTTGAATTGCTCGGCCATGATGATTTAAGTGTTATTTTCACCGTCCTTCTTGGATTCATTGCTGGTTACTGTTAGCGGTTTTATCGGATTATTTCGGTCAACTTGTTACTTCAACCTTTCTTCTTTGCAAATTTTGGGGTCTACCCGGGTCTACTCCTGTTAGGCCCGTTTCAAACGTCGTGCTGCACCGCTATAAGACTGCTACAGAGTTCCGTTTCCCGCGAACCGCAGGTGGATTTCCCGCTTAACAGAATTTTTGATGATTTATGCAAAATTGAAGTGCATTTATGGACCAAAAAATAAACAGACTTGCTCCAAAGGGGTTTGAACACGATTTTTACGAGGGCTGCGGTAGATGACCGCAAAAGTGTTACGATGATCGATACTCAACTGGATGATTACATCACTACATAGCAACCAGTCGCTTCGCATTTTTTAACTTCTGGAACGCTGAGGCTTGTGATGGATTGCTGGCGCTTATCCGGGTTCGAGATCGTGACTAGCAATAAACGTCACGATTCTCTACCGTGTAGTTCATTTGTTTATAATGCCTTTCATTCGTCCGTATATATATTTGAAATTACTTGTCATGATGATTAACAGGGGCACAGCCGCTTTATGAGAAACAAATACGTCTCCCAAGCTCGAAATATTGCTCAATGTTCGAAATATAATTCCCTGCTAGCAGAGACCTGGTGTTCGACGGGCGTTTCCTTAACAACCAGTGACGTTTTAGTCATGTGCAACACAACTTACAAAACCGGTTTGCGCGATAACTACACTGGGTGCCAGAGACTTTTCTAGCGCGGTTTCCGGTTTCTGTCAAGTCTTTATAGTGACCCGCGCGAAGTTTTTCTCGCGGCTTTGACCTACGGCCGAAGATGTGTTAGTCTCTTTCGCAGCCGTTATTAGGGCCGTCACTCGTCACGCAACGCTCCTCCTGACGATTGACGACCCTAGTAACGGCTGCGAAGGAGACTAAAGATGTGTCGACACCGAAAATTCTCGCCGCGCGCGAGAAAAACCTCTGGTACGATAACAAATGTGGGCTCAGAAAATTCCTGCGTATGCGTACAGCCTCAACAGGGCACGCGCATTCCACATTACCCTGGTTACCAGAGGTTTTTCTCGCGTGCGGCGGGAATTTTCCGAAGGCCGACACCGAAAATTCCCGTTATAAAGACTTGACAGAAACCGGGAACCGCGCTAGAAAAGTCTCTGGCACCCAGGGTAATTCCACATTAAACGAAACTAGTTTTGAAAACCATTCAGTTTCGACCACAAATCTTGTTGGTGGCTCCATAAAAGAACTCGTTGGGGACCGGAAGAGCCCCTCTCCTTCCTCTCATTTTTCTTTTGCCTTGAGAGACCCACGGGGGGTGTGTGTGTGTGTGTGTGTGTGGGGGGTACTTGGGTTAATTTTTGCTGGGTATGTGCCGCTGGCCTCTCAGAGCCCCTACCCCATTATAATCTATTTCTTGGCCAATTTTAGACCCCATCTTAGTCACAATTTTCGCGATCCCAACTCAGTCACTTTCTATTTATGCATCTACCTTATCAATGTGGTTTCGAGCGGCGGAATGTAATGCGGTCAATGCGAGCTTATTGTTAAATCTGATTTTTTAACCGGGAATCTTCCCATTTTGAATCCCTACTTACCCCAAAAATCCGAAGATTTGCGACCCCATTCTAGTAAATCTATTAAAAATGCGACCCCATTATAGTCACTCCAGTGGTGAAAATGCAACCCCATCCAGCGGCACGTCCCTGTTAGCCTCTTGTAAGGGAATACCCCCCGGGGAGAGACCTCTACTAGCAAGGAAGGCCACCGCTGTTCGTGAAATTGAAATCTGAGCGTCCACCGTTTTTGCTAAAGAGAAGAAATACGGATGAACATCACAGGCTCCAAAGTAGTGATTTGAACCTAAATGTTTCAATAAATTCAAGCGAAATGTAAACTTTAACCCCGATGGTTAGAACTAGACCCACGATGGGGGAAGGCGTTCTGCGTGCTACGTAGGCGGTAACGAGGGCCAGCTACCCTTGCCCCCCGACCCTCCTTCGAGTTGACGCTGGGCATAAGCATTTTTTAAAATTTCTTTTTCAGCCGGCATCAACTGCGATTTGTTTCACTATCCACGGATTACAAATTCTAGGCTGGATCCAAACGCTGAAAATGAGTGAATCGAACATCGATCATAAAATTTTTATCAACGCTTCTTTTCAAATTTAGATGTGGATGTCCTGTAACTTTTGTGCAAAGTAGATGGTGTCAAAAAGCCCGGCACCCACCAATCAATGAAGGCATCTACTTAAGCTTAAAAGTTTTATTTGTAACAAAATCGAAAAATTCTTTTCAAAAGGTGGTACCAGCCACATTTAAAGGAAATCACCAAATATGCCCCCCACACAGGAATTTACGAAAGAACAGCTCAACTACTACAGAATTTGTTATCTAACCACGGATATTTTAACGGAAGGTCTACGGTCTCTATTCAAACAAGAATGGGACAATCGCTACAAAGCTACACTTGATGAGTGGAAAGATGACGCCAAAAGTGGAATGGCTTTTCATAACAGAGAGTCTGCGCGGAACCAAAGACGACATGCACATCTACTGGTAACCATAAAAAATGGTGATAGAGCCGAATGGGACTGCACCATGCTGTTTTACGCTATTCTTTATTCTGACTGTATCGGGAATGTTCTCAGTACAACAATAAAGACAAATGTGGACAGTTTAAGAAAATTCAGGAACGAAGAATTTGCTCACATGCCACGAGGCTCTTTGGCAGACACAGACTTTCTAAATGCCATTAGTAAAGTTCATGGAGCATTTCAAGCTCTTGGCCTCTCCGTAAAGCAAATCGATGAAGTAAAAAATCAGACAAGTTTTCCCACGGAGGAGTTAAAACTTGTTATGAAACAGGTTGACGGTCTTGCGCAGGAACTTCGACAGGAAAAACAACTACGCAAAGTCCTTGAGGATCAGCTAGAAAAAGAAATCTCACCGTTTTGCAGTCTTCCCCCTAAGCCTTCACATCACGTCACAGGACGCAATCGCGAGGTAGCTGAAATAACGAAAAAGCTTAAGGAGTTAAAAGAGGCCAACAAAAATGAACTCAGTTACTTGTACATCTCCGGAAATGCCGGAAGTGGAAAATCACAGCTGGCTGGCCTCGTAGCTAAGCGTTTCTTCGATGAAGCCAAAGAAATTCCCTTGTCTACTCCATGTGTGATGACTTTAAATGCTGCAAGTCCTGATTCACTTCTGGAGTCGTATGCTTTAATGGCTCGACAAGTAAAGTGCCCTGAATATGCAGTCACAAAGGCCCTTAACTCTAAAGATATCAAAACGGAGGAGAGGATCTCCAATTTGAAAACGCTGATTTCCGCGAGAATCGAGCTGTACACCTCTTGGCTGCTCATAGCCGATAACGTCTATAGTATGTCGTGGGTCCATGATCACCTTCCAGAACGTGGAAAAGAGCAGTGGTCAAATGGCCAGATACTAATTACAACCCAGGACGTCTCGTCCATCCCTTCAACGAGCTCTTTCGTTAATCACGTCTCGATTAGTAGGGGTATGGAGGTTGACGATTCCTGTTCATTATTAAAGATGCTTTCTGGAATCTCTGACAGCAACATTGAGAAGGAAGTCGCCCTTAAGTTGGACTACCAGCCTCTTGCATTAGCGAGCGCCGCAACTTACGTCAAACAGGTCCGACAGAACACGAAAACTTCAGACTTCAACTGGGTCGACTACTTAGAGAAGATACAAAAAGGACAGCGAACCACCACTGAGAAATTTCTTTCAGCAAGCAACCTTTGTTACCCAAAATCCATGACCGCAGCAACTACACTTGCCGTAGAAAATGCGATGATATCTGACAAAATTATTGGTCACACCTTCGCTTTGCTTTTTTTGTGTTCCGCTGAGCCCTTAAGCTTAGACATTGTGATAAATTACATTTCCAAAATGGATGAACAAGTAGCGGACAAAGAGTTCATATGCCTAAGCCTCAAAAGGTGTTCACTGTTATTATTCGAAGAGGATGAAAGTGGCGCCTTTATTCGTGTGCACCAGGTGGTACATGATGCTATCAAAACTGTAATGAAAGATCACCAGGAACCGCGAGAGTCAAGTCAAAAAATCAATGCAGCAGTGGCATCATTTAGCCAGTTCATAATCGCTATTCCGGAAGACAGTAAAACGTACTCGGACACTGTACACTTGGTCCCACATTTGAAAGCCTTAAGTATGAATATTGAATCTCTGTTTCCGAAAGAAACCCTAACCCACGACAAAGATGAGACAGAAAGGCCAACAAACATTTATTCGTATTATTTTATTCAATTTGGCGAGATTTGCGCTGAGCATTGTGAGTTTCATATAGCAAGGAAGTACCATGAATATGCATTAACCATTAAGTTAAAAATTCTTGGCTCTGACCATACTGAGGTTGCAGGTAGTTACCTTTACCTAGGATATATACACCAGAAGTTAAGTGATTTTGAGCGTGCAAAGGACTATGACGATCGCGCTCTAGAAATATACATCAAGACGCACGACCATATTAGTACTGCAAAGGTCTACGGTTTCCTGGGATCAATTCACAGAGACTTAGGAGACCTTAAGCGCGCCAAAGAATATCGAGAGCGTTCACTCGCAATTACCCTAGAGAAGCTCGGTCCTGACGATGCCGACGTTGCATCTTGTTACCATCACTTAGGTCGTATTCACTGCGATTTAGGTGACCTTAAAAGGGCGAAGGAATATCATGAGCATGCTCTTGCCATTAATCTAAAGAAGCTCGGTCCTGACGATGCCGACGTTGCATCTTGTTACCATAACTTGGGTCGTATTCACCACGATTTAGGAGACCTTAAAAACGCGAAGGAATATCATGAGCGTGCTCTTGCCATTAACCTAAAGAGGCTCGTTCCTGACCATACTTACGTTGCAGCTAGTTATCATTACTTGGGTCGTATTCACCGCGATTTAGGCAACCTTGAGCGCGCCAAGGAATATCATGAGCGTGCTCTTGCAACTGACCTACAGAGGTTCGGTCCTCACCATACCGAGGTTGCAACAAGTTACCGTCACTTGGGTCGTATTCATCGCGATTTAGGTGATCTTGAGTGCGCGAAGGAATATTATGAGCGCTGTCTTGCCATTTATCTTAAGAGCCTCGGTCCTGACCATACCAAAGTGGCAGCTAGTTACCATCACTTGGGCCGTATTCACCGCGCTTTAGGTGACCTTGAGCGCGCGAAGGAATATCATGAGCGTGCCCTTGCCATTGACCTAAAGGGGCTCGGTCCTGACCATACCGAGGTTGGAATAAGTTACCATCACTTAGGTCGTATTCACCGCGCTTTAGGTGACCATGAGCGTGCGAAGGAATATCAAGAGTGGTCACTTGCAATTACCCTCAAGAGGCTCGGTCCTGACCATACCAAAGTGGCAGCTAGGTACTATAGCTTGGGTCATATTCACCGTGATTTAGGCGACCTTGAGCGAGCAAAGGAATATCATGAGCGTGCTTTCTCCATTAAGAAAAAGAATCCTGGTGATAAACATAACGGTAACTCAGGATGTATTCTCCAGAGGCCAAATGATCTTGATCTGTCGATGGAACATCAAGAACCTTCAAAGGTTACGACGACTAATGGTCACCCAGGTCATGTTCATAACGAGCAAGGAGAAGGAGAGGATCTTAAGAAGTCCAGTAAACATCAAGAACATTCTGAAGCCGTCCATTTCCAAAATCAAGGCCAGCACTCTGACGTGACAACAACTGACTGTGGTAAACTGTGTACAATGTGCAGCATACTTTAAACAGATGCGCTTGAGCTTAGTAACAATCTTGATAGTCTTGCGATTGTGATTCTGTGAATGATATGATATGAGGTTTAACAAAAATCAAGCTCTTTTTACTGTATCACTTAAACAATAATGCTCTCCTAGTGAGTCTTTTTCAATTTCTAAGGCAAAGTCATGAGTAGGTGCACTTTTTATCGTAAAGTCTCCGAAAGAACTCGTTGTTTATATAACTTGATGGACGTAACGGCGTCCTTTCGCACAAATTCGCGAAAAAATTCGGGTAAAATTCTCACAAAAGATTAACGGAAGGAAATCATACCCTCAGACCCATTCGATGAAAAACTATAAAACAGCTTTGGAACTAGAGAACGATTTGCTCCGAATGGTTTACGCTTTGGTGTTGGTTTTTGTGGTTTGCTACATTCCATATCAGGTTCAGTTTCTTTTGATGGAATTCAGTTTGAAGGCGTTCATGTATTGGCCTCATCGTTACATAATTGATAGGCTTGTTTATACATTAACTTGTTTACCAAGTGCCTTACATCCAGTATTTTACGGAATGATGAGTCAGTTTTACCGCAAAGCTTTTATTAGAATGATTGCCTGTCAGATTCCAAGTAATCATCCAGTGTTGCCTCCAGTTTGTATAGCTTTTCACGGTGATTTCGAAATAGGAAGTGGACCAGGTAAGGGAATCTCGATTCCAGAATCCGGAAAATTTTTAAACGTGGACTCCGGAATTCTGCGCTTTGGTATCCGGAATACAGCTCAAGGAATCCAGAATCCTAAACGTTTGGAGTCCATAATCCAAGGTCTGAGAATGTCGGGAATCCGGAAACCACGGCGTAGAATCCAGAATCCAAGAAAGTAATCCAAGACTTTCTTGGATTCCCTTACATGGGGAGAAAATTGATGGGGCGCAGAGATTTTGAAACATGCAAGAAGTTGTGCATCTTAGGGCCTGTTTACATGAAGGTAGGGGACCCCAGGGAGGTGAGGTAACCATGTGGCAGGTCACCCCACCTAAAATGTAAACGTGATCACATTAAAATGAGAGATTATATATATATACGGGCGGGTTATCCCACCTAAGCAGTTACCTCACCTACCTATGGTCCCCTACCTCCATGTAAAAAGGCCGGGCTTATAATTGAAAATGATAACAT